TAAATGCAACAATACTGCCAAGTTGCATTCACTGTAAAACGATAGGAGACGCCCTAACCCCAAAACGAGCCTAGCACAAACAAGTAATTTTGACGCCGGCCCATAGTGATTAGCATAGTTTGGGCATTTGCTATTGTGACATGCATGGTCGAAGTTTTAGTATTCACAAACACTGCAAAAATAGTATTCAGAATCTTACAGATAGATAGCTACTGTAATCGGACAGGCAAACCTACTAGTGCTAGAAGTACTGGCGCTAGTGCTACTTGGGCTGCTGTTGTTGCTGTTGCTGTTGCTGTTGCTGTTGCTGTTGCTGTTGCTGTTGCTGTTGCTGCTGCTGCTGCCGCTGCTTTTCCTCCTACTGCTCCTGCCGTGCACCAACATCGCCGGACCACGAGCTGTTTAGGTCTGCGTTCGGGGTTCGGGTTCCGAACCCCTACAATTCATGGTCTGCTGACAAAAGTCGTTGCGGCCCTAGCCCAAAACCGCTACACGCCCAAATTCCTAAACGCTCCACCCTAAGTGGCCGCTGACGTGAGGTCGAGGGACCAGAGGAAGGCGGGGTCATGTTCAACCCTCACGACGATGGTGGTCGTGAGTTCGGGCCCCGAGTTCTCTACTCTTGCCATGGGAATATTAGTTAATCATTGATATTCTATCACTCCAATCGTATCTTATGTTATACTATACATATACCACGCTGTAATATATTGTTATGTTAAGAGAAGCACAGCCAGACTCGTGGCACAACTGTTTGTAGCACTGTGGTCGTATTCATAATTGCACGTGAAACTCTTGGTGTCGTTGTGGCTGGCTCGAATTCTTGTCATTATTGTCGTGATTACGTTATTGCTGTTCATGTCAGGAACTACAGTAATAATCTCATGCCTCCTCTTGTATGATCTGAAGATCCTTGTCGTTGCACCTGGCACGGCGGACCCCCAGTACCCGGGCGCCCAAGGATGGCGCTGCTGACCATCGCCATCAAGAACAACCCAGAGCCCCCCCTGAAAGAAAGGTGCGGCCAACGGGTTGAGTTGCTTTGCAGTTTGGGCTTTCGGTTCGGAGCAGGAGCCTTTAGCCGTCTGCACGTCAATGGTAACTAACAAGCTGAGGCACACATTAAGAGCAACTCCTCAAACCAGTGTGCCCTGGACCTGAAAGCTCAAGCTTAAATCCAGGATCATCGACCCTGACAATTTCAGTCGCGGTTTGGAGGCCTGCATGTTTTTCTTTGATGGTGCCTGCACCTACATGGCAAGTCAAGGGGCAAGGAGGCTTGTTGAGTCAGTTTCGGTGGGTTTGCAGTGGTTTTTGGAGGGTATAACGGGTTGCAGGCACTGCCAATCAGCAAACCCTTTTGAACACCATGTACACGATGATGGTGCTTCACATTGCCGCAGTTTCTTGATCATGTTCCTGCGAGTCATCATCAGCCTCCGGCTACGGCTGCAGCCCCTGCCATTACTATCATTCTTGCCACACCGTTTCACTTCTACCGCAGGCGAGCTTGACCTCTGCGGCCAGCAGAAGTTTGAATAAGTTTAGTATGACTTGTATTCTGAATCACAATGTCATAATTCTCTCAGGCAGTGGTGTTGACGCGGACAGTACGATATTGCTTCGTTGTGTGGACTTTCCGGCCGTTGGGCTGTCTGGTCGCTTTGGAACACGCGTATCTTGCAAGCATGAAATCTTTTGTGCATGTGGCGGAGGGTTGAAGTTCTGTTCTTCGGCGCCTCACTGCTGGAAAGCTCCCTTCCCCTAAGCCCTAAACCCTAAACCCTAAACCCTAAACTCTAAACCCTAAACCCTAAGCTTTCCAGGAGTGGAAGGAGCAGATCCTCAGCTCCATCAAGCTGGAAGAGCCAGAGGCAGAGGAAAATGAGGACCCGTCTTCAGGGCATCTTGCAGAGTCTCTGGGCTTCTCTCTGCTAAACCCTAAACCCTAAACCCTAGGCTTCTCTCTTCAGAGTCAAAAAGCCCATGTCTTGATGTGTTTTGTCTTTGCGTGCGCATGTGCGTCGACGCCCGGAGAGACCGGACAGTCTTAAGACCCCTCCCTGGCCCAATCCCACAGGCCCGGAGCCATGAACCTTCAAAGCCCTGACTCTACACCTACTCGTAAAATCCCGCGCCCCAAACCCCTCCAGTACCTAAACCCTACACGCCGAGCCCTACCCCCAAAGCTTCAGCCTCAAGGAGCCTACCTTTCGCCCCAAAGCTTCAACCTGTTGAGCCCTAAATCATAAACAGACCCTGAACACCTCCACCCTAAGCCATACCCCAAACCCTAATCCAAACTTTGGTTTCTGTTTCAAGGACCCTCCCAAGCTCGGCCCCACGGACTACGTCCTCTTCGTGGTCGGCACGGGCCCTGGCTGAGCGCACCGAGAGGGATAAGGGCTCTGGGGCTGGGGCCGAGGGGGCTGTGGGAGCGCAGGGCTTGAAAATTTTGGGCCTTCGGTGTTGGGTTTTGGGACTGCAGGAGCCTTATTGGGAATTAGGGTTCGGGGTTTTCGGGTCTTGGGGGTTTTGGGCCTAAAGGGGTCCAAGGTGTACCTGGCAGTGTGGCTTTATCTTTTGAGGCAAGGCGCAGAACTTGAAGCCTTTTTGGTTGCTGGCCCTGTGACATGTGAGATCTCCAGGCAGAAATCCGATGAAGACCCAAAGCCGTGATTCCATCAGTGTCAGCAGCCCAAGGCTCAAGCCGAAACCGCCCCGACAATTACATGTGGAACCCTCCACCCGCGCGCAGCTGTTGCTCTGGTGTTTGTATGCCCCAGCTATACCCGCAGCTTCCCAGGTCTGCCTTTCAAAGTCTTCTTTGGCCTGGTGTGCCCACCAGCATGCTGGGCCGGTTGCAGCCTGAACTTCCGGGGGGGAGAGCGCCCTTAGTAGGAGGAGCTGAGCTTCTTGAGTCGAAAACTCTCCCTCTCCCTCGCTCTCTCGCTCCCCTCCCCCGCCACGCTTCTGCACTCTCCCGCTCCCCCGCCCCTCTCTCCCGCTCTCCACTCACCATCGTCTCCTTGTCCCTCCCTCTCGATTGCATGTAAAGGTGCGATGATGGTCATCACGATGACAAGAGCAGCAAGTGCGATGGGGCAATGACGACAGCGATGATTGTAGTGGTGACACAGACAAGCACGATGACAGGAATGGAAACAAGAGTGAAACATCAATAATGAGCGAGATTGGCTGAGATGGACATCGGGACGGACGCGCCGACTGTTTAGTGTGGATACAAAGACATGCTAGTTACCTGTGGTATATGCTTTTGCTTGCATTTGAGATACCAGCTGTGTGGGTACATAGATGCAAAGATGCGCAGACAGCGCGCTCCGCTGCATCAGATTGATTCTTATGTGTTCGCCCTTCGGAGCCCGGGCCGGGTTGTAATGCGAATTCACAGCAGGGAGAAGGAGAGGGAGAGGGAGGAGGGGCAGAGAGAGAGGTACTAGGAAGGGGAACGGCTTCGGGGCGCATGAGCGGTGTTGCTGGATGCAAGTCACTTTCGTACTGGTCTCCTTGCCTACGAACCCAGCTTCGCAGAGCATGCGTTACCGCATGCGGGGCTGCATTCTTTGAGAAGACCGTCGCTGCCAGCGATTGATCCTTTTGCCTCACCTCGGGGATGTTGACTGAACAAATGGCCTCAATGCTTTGTGGTTCCGAAGTTATTCGTGGCATCTGTCTTGGGGATCACGCTTTTCTCTGCCATTTCTCTGTGTTGTACTTCCAGCACCGGGCCATAACCACACGACTGCTTGTTTACCCTGCGGGGGAAACATATCTTCTGAAAAATCCAGAGGCACAGCCTCCGCATTCGGAACACGTGTGAGCTCTCACAGCCTCCTCCAAGCCCCAGAAGCAGAGGGCCTGCGGCCAGGGGGCTTTGCCGCGAGAAGAGCGGAGAGTGACGGAGAGAGAAGGAGAGTCTGGAGCGAGAGTTGCATCTCCGCAGTGCCCAGGTGGCTACTTGCTCTTTGTGGTGGCGCTTGGCTGGGTCGGAGTGACTTGGCACCGATTTTAGGGTCCAAGTTGGGACCCCAAGGCTGTAAAATGCACAGGGCAACTGTCGGACAGCTCTCGTTCATGCTGGGCTTCTTCCCAGCAGTCCCGAAAGACAGGCACCTTCTGAGCATTCGAGCTACCCTCAAATCCCCAACCCACCCCCTTACCTTCACGCCGCCATTTGGAGCTGAAGGGTCTCAGGTTTGGGTTTTCAGGCGCTGGTCTTCGCAAGGGCAGGCTGCTGCTCAGCAGCCGTCAACTTGAAAGTGACAGCTCCGAGTCATGAGCATGGAACCAGGGAAGCCGACATCAAGTCCGAACTTCCAAACTCCATGGGACCTTGACCAAAGACCCCAACTACTGAACTCCTGACCCTCGCCCTGAACCTGAAACTGGAATGAAATGTCGAGCGCCACACCCTAAACTAAACCCCAAATCCGAAACCGCGTTCTCCAGGTCGTCACAGCTCTGATCAGTGACCTCGCGTCGCTTTTTGGCTGCTGCGCAGGCGTTTTGGGATCTAGTTCCGGGGCCGCGGAGTTTGGACTTTCTGGCACTGAGTCGAGTAGCGATTTTGAGGCTTCAGCCGAAACCCCCAGCCTGCACCACGAAACGCACTTTGAGTGCTTGAGGCCACCGGGTCCTTCGGTGACTTTCAAGTCGTTCAGCCGGCATCGGGCCTTCGTTGTGGAGTTAGCTATGTTCAGTTCGTCTCTACGAGTCATGGGAGTGGTCGGCCACTAAGAAAGGTAAACCCCAAAAAACATCACGCCGAGACGGTCTCGTGGAGACCAAAGTGCCGACATCAAGACGCCTTCTTTTCGGCTGTATTTGAGAGAATCCCCTAAACCCGGAACCCTATAAACCCTAAACCCTAAACCCTAAACCCTGAACCCTGAACCCTATAAACCCTAAACCGAGTCCTGCAGATCTGGACCAGGCTTCAGGTGAAACCCGGTACAGCCGAGCCCCGAAAGCTCATGGTCAGGCATGCCAGATGCCACGACGGCCATCACGATCGTGGCTATGGGCACGTCCTTGCCAGGAGCCAAACTTGCTTCCAGCCAGGATCTTCTTCCTCAAGCTTCAGATCCCTAGTCCGAAAGAAGCTTCAACCAACTTAATCATCTTCAAAGCATTCAGGGGCAAATCTGGGAAATTGGCTCCGCTGCACCGCTACTGCCACTGCTAGCACGACTACTAGTGCTACTACTACTACTACTACTACTACTACTACTACTACTGCTACTCCACCTGCTGCTACTGCTACTCCACCTGCTGCTGCTGCTGCTGCTGCAGCCGCTGCTATTGCTGCTCTGACGACGACGACGTCTGACGACGACGTGGCTGCAACGAAAGCTCGGCAGCAAGACAAACCACCTCAGCTCTATGAGGCCGGACACCTTTGCTTCAATGGCGTCTGCCTCCAAGGACGACACTGCCGAGACTTGGCACGTTGAGATGCAGGGCTCCTGCGATTCACTGAGCTCATCGGTCGAGACCGAGAAGCTTGGAAAGGCTTGCGGTCCGGCGCGCACCGAGGCGATGGCGGCGAATGCTCATGAGAGTTCACCGAGTGTGGTGGTGATGGCGAATGGAGGGTTTTTACTTTTCATCAACTTTTCTCCTGTGCAGACAGAGAAAGCCAAGGACTCTTCCATTGTCAATGCCCTCGCCTCAGGTCTTGAACTGACAGTGCAAAACCGGTGCGAAATCTCTGGCTCCCAGGTCACGGTTTACGCGGTTTAGGTTTTTTGAGGGAGGAAGCTTCAGTTGTCGAAGAATTCGGAGCCAGGGCCAACAGGGAGAGCTCTGCAGCCTAAGGCAAAAAGCGGGTTCTGATGGTTTCGGGATTTCGAGGTTGTAGGGGGTTCAAGACAGCGTCAGCAGTCAGGTGACAGGCAGCAACTCTGTGAACGTCTACCTTGGCATTGGCATTCCTTGGTTGGCTGCAGCGCTCTACTGGACCAATGTGAGGGGCCCAGTCAGACAAAACCCAACGGCAAAAGTAGTAAACCTGAGATCCTCATCTCAAGTCCTTTCCCAGGGGCCTGTGGATGCCTGGAGGTTGCGGTATGCGGTGCGAGACTCGGGCTCCTGCTGGCGATCGGCTTGTTCTTCACTTGATTCTTTTCATGGTTGCCAGTAGTGCTACTGGTTGTTGACATTGAGGTACATGATGATGATGGTGGTGATGACGATGATGATGTTGATGTTGATGTTGCTGATGACGATGAAACTGTTGATGATGACGATTACTGTCATCATTTTCCGATTGGTAGGTTGTCGATCTCAATTAGGGCCGGAAAGCTGCTGTACTTGTCGTCAGAGAAGTGTTTTTCCGGTGGAGTGAAACCATGGAAACTGTTACAAGAAGTGCAGTTACTCTTACACATTCTTCTATGCCTTCCGATACTTCCTACAGTGCTCTTGTTCTGCTTTTTGCCAACTCCTCCTCTTGTTCTTTGATTGTTTTCTTGTAAAGCTCTCATGGCCTTTCCGTTGTTCGCACTCTTCCACACGAAATGGTACACATGTCGAGCAAGTGAAGACAGCTAGTAGCCAATATCATTAACATGAGAGAGGTCCTGACGTCAACGCTCACCGTCGTCAATGCAGTCGCTCTTCTTGTGGTCATCTTCACGGCCTTCAAAACAGCGATGACACGCAACAAATCTGCTGCAGTGAGGGCCCGCGAAGTCGCTATCAAAGCTAAGTAAACTTATGCAAATTAAGGTCCACATCGCCAGGGTTGTCGGCATTACATTTGCCGATCGACAACTGAATCGTTGCACTAGGGCCTTGGGTCGGCTATACTATCACAGCCAAGCAGGGGGCAGCGATGGTACAGATGTTCCCGAGTCTTCAGGCTGTTGCTAAGTTTGAGGGTCCAGCATGGTGTCGGCTCTTTGTGTCTAGGTGTCGCATGGTGTCGCCGTCTTTGGGCTTTCGGGGAAGTATCTAAGTTGCGGACCGCAACATGACGAGAGGACCTCCCAGACGTCGTGAGCAACTATCCGAACGGCGCCTTTGTGGTCAAGGCACTCCCAGCACAATAATCCGATGTAGACACGTAGAGTTAATTCCTGTGGCATGCTCATCTAGATTAATCTGGATTGTCCAGAATCCTTCCTGCTGCCTGAAGCTTGGCCTTACCCCCACCAGCTTTTTCCTACAGAGCCAAGTTTGGATGACGAACACAGCTTGGCCTTGCAGTCAAGCAGCGAGCTGGACCTGATGTAATCGGCATATCCGGGGGATGAAGTCAAGCTTCCCTTGAGGTGCCCACAGAACCTATGTGGCTGCACGATCTGCTCGGGGTTGTATATCTAGCCGAATAGGGCGTTCTGAGGGAGCTCGGAAGGAGTCTTCCGCAAGCTGAGATGTCGTCTGTAAGTCTCAAGCTGTCTCGGATGTCAGATCCGGAGTTTTGGAGTCAACCTTATTTTGGGGGTCCTTATAATAAGGATCCTACTATTTAGGGTACTATCATCCATAGCGACGCTGTGCGCAAGCAGAAGCGAATCTGTCAGACCGGTTTTCGTTAGCGTCGTTACGACTCCTACCAGCTGCTGAGCTCTCGTCCGGCACCTTGCGTCCGCCTGTCGTATCAGCATTTTGCCTCAAAGAAACACAGGAAAACTTATAAAAGTAGTGAAGGTCCATGTTGTCGCCAGCCTGTAGCCTGAATTCCCGACATGAGAACGAAGGCCGGTGCCCTCGGCTTCAGCGTCCTCCTCTTCAACTGCGTTGGGGTCGTTTGCCTGGCCGGGCCCTCAGCAGGGAGTCAGTGCCTTTTAAATGCACGAAGGTTGAGTTCTCAACTATCATCCCGCCTTCAGTGCCCTAGGTTGGACTAAACTCCCCGCTGTGGGGTTTAGAGATGGGGACGCGCTTTCGTTTCAGGTGCCCAGCTGCGTTCAATCTGTAATGCGATAAGAAATGACGACTGAGCAGATAGACAGACATATAGAAAGATGCATACACCACTAGCTAGGCAGATAGATGGCAGCTTTGGGACGACGGTTAGTCACGAGGATGCGGCAGTTGTCTACGCATCATTTTGCAATGCAGCGTTCCTTCCGGGTTGGGCATGCGCAGTTGGAACGTAAGAGATCCGTTGTCCGAACCAACAAAGCAAAGCAGCTTGATCCCAAGCGTTCCAGACAGCCGATGTCGGCCACAGGCAAACTCAGGCCAACTCGTGAGCATCTTTTCGGCCACGGCATTTTCCGGCGTCGACCGGCCGTCCAAGCATCATGAGCATCAGCCGCAGGCCGCCAGAGGGACGGAGCGCAGTGAGTATCAGCCGCAGCTCATTGCCGCTGTCGGCCCAGCAGCATGAGCATCAGCTTCCAAGGCCGTTCGCGGACTCCGCATTGTGTGCGTCAGCCACAAGTCACTCCTCGGTATGGGCATCAGCCGGCCGTTTTGCCACGGAGCGCCAGTGTCGATCGCCAGACGAAGCATCATGAGCATCAGCCGCAGGCTAGCAATGCCAGTGTCCACAGCCAGACCAAGCAGCATGAGCATCAGCGACACCCAGACCAAGCATCATGAGCATCATTGAGCATCAGCCGCGCAGTCTGCTCGGCCACGACAGCCAGACCACATGAGAATCAGCTGCATTCAGCGTGGCGACGGCATGGCCAGTGTCGACCGCCAGACCAAGCATCATGAGCATCAGCGGCAGG